AGATCTCCGGGCAGGGATCTAGAAAAATCGATTAACGTCATCGAGTCGGTGCAGCGTAAGGACACTGGTTTGCGATGACCGTGACCCGACACGTCCCTTTCGAATTCTCGAGTCGTCCTTGATCAAGACTGAATCGGACTTACTGTTACTTCACTCGGCGTACGACCACGGCACGGAAATAAGTACGGCTGCCTAGAGGATATATTTAGGCTCGGGGGAATCTTTCGCTGTTCAGACTATGTTTGGACACGATTCCCAGGGATTCTGGCGCTTTGAATGGACTCTATTGCGACCGATACCGGCGAACAAAGATAGACTGCTACCATCGGAGAGGAACAGAATGGATATAAATGGCAAAAGCGGCTTTGTGCCTGTAATTGGCACTTGTCGAGAGCGTATAGAAGGCGGCATCGTGATCATTCGGAGAAAACGGGGCTACGTGATATTTCGTCGCGATTTCACTTCGATCGGACTCTTCTAAGCTTTCGATTAAACGAAGTTTACAAACTACCTGTTCTTCTTTCTGCGATACTGGAATCATCGTTTTCCCTCTTTAAAATCTCAGGTACGACACCACTTTCGATCTCAAGCGAGATTTTTTCAATCCTATCGACTGTATTAACCATGCCATGTCGACATAATTATATTGGACTTGTACCATAGACCTACATCTGTCTTTCAGTATCCTTTTACGTAGGCAGTCGAAATGTCTGACGCAAATGTCACGAAAATGTCGCTCCACCAACTTGTAACCAATCGCTTTGCACGCGCTGAACGAACCGAACAGGTCTCTGTCGTGGAATTAGGTGTACGAGTTTTAGTATCATTCACCTTCACCGTCACAATTGCTCCAAGAAACTCTATATACGGTTACCCTTTTATTCGTTCTTAAAATTCTTTTCACTTATTTTTACCAAATGTTTACGAATTAGTTTCTCGTTCGATTTACCGTTAGAAAAATGCAAGTTTCCTGATCTTGAGACAATTTTCCCCGATACCGAGTTGTTCCGATGGAAGAAAGACCTAATGTACTAACAAGATGTCGAGGAATGCGCAGGTTGGTCGTTATTGGTCGGAGCGTTGATCCGGCATTACGGAACGTCGACAAATTAAGACTGTAAAGAGGAATTCCTCCCTTAGAAGGCTCGCGACGGACAATAATTGCGCAAAGCGGACTGTAGCACCGTTTCTCGTCAGTTCGGTGGCATTGGTTCCTTCTTCCATCGAGTGGAGAAAGTTTCAGGGCTGCGGAGGGAGAAGAAATGTGCCAAAGAGGACAAAGGCCGGGAAAAAAGCGTTGGGATACTGTTGCCGCAACAGTGTAGCTCCCTTTTTCGTTCGAGAAAACGACCAACGAACTGTTTCTGCTTTGGTTCATTTATTCGTATACTCTTGTTCCCTCTTGGAACGTCTCTTAGACCGAAGTTAATTACCGACTTTATTAGACCGAGACAACGATGTTTGCGACGACGGAATTATTTCTCTTTTTCTGCAATTCGTTTTGCAGTGGCAGATAAATTCGATGGTTTTCTCTATTCAAACTAAGCACGGATCGTATTTTAAAGCTACTCGGGCACTTCTATAGCTGACCAACGATGGTAAACGTTTAATTCTCAGTTTACTTTCCAGAGATTTCCCAATACGATCTTCCGGAAAAGGCAACGAAACGCGGTATCGCTTTTCTTACGGTCTGTGACCGAGATTTCCAATTACATTAATCTGTATCTTCGATCGAAAGCTTTCCCCTTGAAATATTCTCTTACCGGCGATTTCCCATAATTGGCAAAACGATTTTCATTGACCTTGAATATCGTCGACGCGAACGATCGACCATGATAATCCGTGGCCCCAATTACGGAAATTAATTTCGTTTAACTTTTATTACGTTCTCGTACCGCTTTGTCGGGGACAAGCACGAAAGCGAACGTCCTTGTCGTGAAAATTGCGCGCAGTATCAAAGCCTGCGAATCAGATTTTCCATATTCTCGGCAATTTCAGACGAAAACAATGCTATCCTATTAGTTTCAGTCTGGCAATTTGAATAATAGTTAGGAACTCGTAGGGAAGACTCCTCGATGGTTTTGAAACCTTGACTCTTTTTACTCATTTCCATTAGAAAGTATCTACTTCGAGTTTGCGTTTTAGAAAAAATAGAGCCAATATTTTAATTTAATAGTAGGACTGACGGTTGGATGAATGCATATATGCAGTTTAGCAAGCATAGTCGTAGGAATCCAACGGGCCAATGTCCTCGCTTTAACGCGAACCACCAGGGGGTTGCTCGGAGAAGAGCCGTCGAATACGCCGCGAAAAACAAACCGCGTTCGCGATAAGATCGTCGTTACGGCGGCGTTTTGCAAGCTGCGCCGCGGTCCGTTTGCGGGTTTCTCGCGGTGCTCGCGCAGTAAGGACCGATAGAATCGTATATTACATATTCACGAGCCGTAGACGACTCTTTCACCGAGAAGACGAACGACTGGTGGCTCGCGGCGATCGGGCCCACGACGATCTCTCCTGTTTCGCAGCAGTGAATGGAACCGTCCGCGAGGCCAACCGCCCGCTGATAAAAACCCTCATAGTATACTAGTCCCTGCTCGAGTCGCTGGAATATTATAGACTACATAAAACCAAACAGAAAAAGTCCAAGAGAAGATATCCTTAGATGCAATAATTCGAATAATAGATGGAACAATACGTCGCTGTTAGCCATAGTCATTTTTAGAAAACCTTGAATCTCGAATAATCAGGACTTTTGACTAAACCATTCTCCGCCTAATCTGAATGTAAGAAACGTAAACGGTCCGGAATAAAACATGATTACGCAATCTATGCTGGTCGATTTTACTGAAATCTTCGTCTTTTCTTGTACACGCTATGTTAAAAGACAAGAGCCAAGACAAAGAACATTCGAAACGTGAATGTATTCACGGTTACGCAACAATTATTTTTCTTTTGATATCCGGTTCTCGGTGATAGAAACGTGGCGAATAAGAGCGACTCCGAGCGTTCTTTCGCGCCTCTGTGACATTATACAGCTGGTCATGTATCCCTCGAAGTAGCAAATGGCGTCTCATGGAAGACACGTTTAAAGAAAAATGCGTTTCGAAACTTTGAAAATTTTCGTGGGAGTTGCTTTGCTGCTCGTTCTCTTTAGCAATCGAATTCTGGCGCGATCGTAAAAATTTTACCTCGTCTACTTTAAAACTACTTTATAGACAAGACGAGCGTTCTTTAATTACCGTTCGCGGATACTCCGTATATTTTTAATGGATCTACACCGCTTTCGTAATGAATAGCAATCATCGTGCCGCGAAAATGGAGCAGAAACTAGCGAATGAAACCGATTTTCACGCGGACGAGGCATATAATCCGACTGAAATTAGGACCTGCGAACCGCGTACACATTAGAAAATAATGCCGATGCTTTGTGTGTTAGGAACGGGTATAACGGTTCGCGCGGCTCGTGGTGCTCAGTGGCGCGCGTTTTACTCGGGCATCTGCCTCTTCGATCCCTCGATCGGATCCAATATCGGCGATCGGGTTCGACGTGTACGTTTCACGCGTTCGATTCCCTCCCTTGGAAATACCCTCGATGTTCGCGAATGTTTAATTTAACGGTCGTTGCGTTTCGATACAACGAACGAGTCTTTATTAAATATGCATGTAACCGTTCGCAAACGCGAGCCAGCACGTAACTACACCTCAATTAATTCCAGAAGAGGAATCGTTTCGAACGATGACTCGGATTGCGCGCTCGCGAGATCAGAAAAACAACCCACGATTCCGCAAACACGCTCGTAATTTACCGTCTCGGCCGCGTGCTGGTACGAATTAGTCTTCTGCCAACGTTTTTACCCGATTGTCCTACCTCGTTGGTAGCAGAAACGAACGTTTCTCTAATTTTTGGCGAAACAGAATTAAGTTTCCCGACTTGGCTGTAAATTTTGAATTGTTACGTCGTATCGTTACGCGGTTTGCAACACCTCCGGTCGCTGAGTTACGTTTTTAACGAACCCGTGCAACGCGTTCCTTAAAATTAGTTCCATTCAGTGATTCCCCCAGCCTCTGCTCGCATTAATTCAATGTTATCCCTTGCAACGTGAACTTTTTACTGGTTTTAATACGTCAGAAATTGCAGACGAAATATTCTATACTCTTGTGATAAATTAACAAAAATATAACATGCGTGCAATAACCGAAGATTAATATTTAACCCTGAAGTACAGATTCACTGTGCAGCAGGGTTTAACTGTAAATGGCGACTCCGAAGATGTTGGAAGAGGTGTTTATTCTAACCGTAATTGCGTCTCGTAGAATTTACACGCGTAAACAGTTCGTACGGAGCTTTGTCTTGGCCGTTCGCGATAACGAACGGTTCGAAGCTCGCGGGTACACGCGACTCGTTTGTTAGTGCCTGTCCCCGCGCGTTAACATCGTTGCATCTTAATTGCCAGGGAAACAGTTGCTCGCGCCGGACAATTCCCCCGGTGAGAGCTAACACGAGCCACTTAAAAGTGGATGTCCTATTAACGGAAGACAACTACGTTATCTCGTCAGCCACGCGGAAGAACAGCTGTTAACCGGAGGAATTACCGTCGCGCTAGCTTGGCCTCGCGACTTGGAAAATAAAGGAGTGAAAAAAACAAACAAAAGTGTTTCCGTCGACGGTCGATTCTCGAAAGCGGTCGAACGCGATCACGCCAAAATCGAGTTCTCCGCGGTGCTCTTCCTGCATCGTGAATTGCACAACACCTTTCCGCGACAAACAAGTCGTTCTTCCCTTCTCGAGGCGACGAATTAGAAAGTGTTTAACAAGTTTTCCAGCCGCTCTATGGGCCGCGTAATTCGCGACGAAATGCAAAGGCCGTTTACGAAACGCTCGCGACCGTCGTGTACCCGAGATTCAAGATTACGAAAGATTCGGTAATGGTTCGCGGTTCGTGGTCAGGACTCCACGTGACTCTGACGTTGTTCAGCGAGAGGCAAAAGAGGAAACTCACCCTCGGATCTCGTCTCCGCGGCGAGCATCAGGGCCGCCAGGAGTAGCAACTTGGTGAACCAGAGCCTCCACATGTCTTTGGCCATTTGTTCCCCGTTCGCACGGAACCGTGCCACAATATTCCGGCCCGGATGGAGAAACGTAGCCCGTTACATGGGTACCAAAAACCGAACGACGCGGAAGCTCCAACTGCGAACAAGCACCACGGAAAATCACCTTGCCCGAACGGAGTCCCGATTTCCCGCTCTGTCCGCGTTTCGCGTTTCTGTCAACGAGATAATAACAAAAAAAAGAAAAATGGCAAAACAAACGGCACCCAGAGACACGATTCTTTGCTCCTGCGTGTCGGGGTACGTCGAAAAAATTTGTCCACCTGGTTCACCGGACAGAGAGCGCGTTAAACGAGAGCTTCGGTACTCGACGACCGACCGATTGACCTTTCTCCGGGTGCGTAACTTTGTCTGTGTCCCGGTGAGGACTGAAGGGGAAGCAAGGCCCGCGGCCGGGTGTTGGGAACCGGAGAAAGGTGTATCGAGAGAGAGGCCAGAGGCGAGCCGGTAAGGCCCCTCTTCTATCGTTTCTTTACCCCCTCCCGTTTCAGGCCCCCTCCAACAATCTCTCTCTCTCTGTCCAACCGACCCTTTCCCAGCTTCTTCCTCGTGGCGAACAGGACCGTTCGCGAGGCACACTGCTCTTACCTCTGGAGGCTGTCTTATTGTCATTGTAATTGCGCACGCTGTTCGCGCGAAATTATTGCGGACAACGCGGCCTTGGCTGCTATCGTATCCTATTCCTTTTCGGCTGGTGGGGGGGGGGGCGGTCTGCAAGGATAGAAGGGGACAGTTAGAAATGAAAACCGACATTTCGACAGGATTCGCGGATTCCAAGCTTCTGCATTTCAATGCGCAGCACGAACAGACGAGAATTTCATTCTAACGTAAAGTATCTGTAACAAATTCGTTGGATTAATGCTTATCTCTGATCGATTTCTACTCTACCGTGCCACGCGTCCACCCGTTAGATCGTAACTCCAACCGGAGCAAATAGCGACGCAAGACATCACAGCAGCTGTTACATTTGCGCTAATTTGCCTGTCAAACCGCTCGTTTATCGATTGTTCGATTTATAACTTCCCTCGATCATTCTCGGCAACGACGCGATGAAATGCAATCGTTAAAAGAATTATACCGATATTAAATATCGATTTCGGTAAACTGAACGTCGATTTTAGTTTCACGCGTGTTCGGCTCTGTTCGATTAAATTTCGATCGACGATCTAGAAGTAGAAACGTCCCTGGACCTCGGTAGAAAGTTCGAAGCGGTGAAAATTCGCGGAAGAGCCAAAGGAGCGTCGAAATCAACAAAACTCTCTATTCTTGGGCGGGCTGTTAAAAATTACTTTCAAAAATAACGGAACGCCCGCGATCTGCGATTTTACGGCTCTCCGAGTGGAAAAGAAATTTATGCGGAATCGTCGCCTCGAAACGTTGACCCACAGTCGAGATGTCCCCTTCGAATGTCCGCGAGTTTCGTGTGGAATCTGTACACGATTTTGCCGTCCATAAGTGTCATTTTACATATTTAGTTAGCAGAGGTAATTTGCAATCGAAATCTTGTTAAAAATTACTACTACGCGTCTCCCGATTTCACACTAGTTAGGTCTCAGCGCGAGCCTCAGTCCCAACTCTGCATTGTAGGCATAGAGGGGGAGGTCTTTTGCGGTTGAACGGAACAGAAAAGTAGGGGAAGAAGGACTCGCGAACCGCCAATTCGCCACCCCTCGTTTAGAAGTTAATCAGCGCCTTAAATAACAGAGTACACTATTTGCGAACTTAGCAGCATCTCTGCAGAGACGCGAGCCTCGGGTTGTCAAACCGAGGCTCATCGAACGTTTCCAAATATGGCGGTCCACCTGTCGCGTCGAACGAACTCGGCCAAGAGACGGAGGGCACGGTTGTTGGAGGAACCTGTACGATTAGTGGGACGACTCGCAAGGTGGGAGGTTCGTATTATAGGTGGCGACCCGAGGACCTACATTTACGAACGTGGTCTTCTCTCCGCGGCCTCTGGCTCGATCAAGCCCCCGTCTCTTAAAGTATTCGTGCCGATGTCGGTTGACTCGCTTAGCGAGTGATTCTCGAATTCCGTCGCCGAACATTCCACCGGAGAAATTACTCCCCTTTCTGTCTCTTTTTCCTCTTCTCTTTTTACATCTCGAGTGGACGTCACGCTCGTGGACCGCGAAATTGAACGGCTGACGTCGCCGTGGTGAAAACAGCTCCGAGAGCCAGTTGGCTTAACATTCAACCTGTACAAACCGGTACCTGTTAATAGTTAAATATAACTTGGGAAGTTTAGCGGCCATGTGTGTCCATCAGAATTGGGCGAACTCTATTCGCGAACAACGAATAGCGATTTTAAATCGATTCGAAGCCTTTCTCAAAATTCTTGAATCATAAAATTTCGAGTTTTAATGGTCCCCTCGTTGGAAGAAGAGCGGTGTTGCGGACTGTACGGTGTTGCGTCTTTCGAGCACCAATTATCAGAGCACAGCGCATCATCCGCGAACGTTCTTCCGCATAACGTTTCCGAGGTGCACGCAGACAATTCCGGAGACAAACTTGAAAAGGCCGCGGCTGAACGACTGACTTTCTAATTCGACGGCACGGATCTGTCTAACGGCGCGGTGGATTAGCGTCGCGTATAATTGAGTCGGCAGAACGCAAGGACGTCAAAAACTCGTAAAGCTTAAGCGAGCGTAAAAATGGTGGCTCGGGTTCTCGAGTCGATGACATCTGCCCGATAGTCTAACAGAATCTAGACGAGAATTATGACGGCTTCACCGTTGCCTATTGCTATGCACCATCGGCTGCATCGACCGACATTACTGGCGTGAAACGTCTACCGTTTACCATCCGCCGGCTATCGAGGCTTGCGTAATCCAGATACGATAATGCGTAACAGTTATTCCGTTTCGCGAAAACAATAATAATAATAACTTTCCATTACTTCTTTTTTTATTGCTTCGTTCGTGGAACGCGGCACGCGCTACCAAAGATACAACATTCTCCGCAAGAAAGAACGTTTTACTTTTATCGTATCGCCTCTATGGTGGAAAAATTCTATCTTTACGTATCTGGAATTCTATCTTTATAATACTTTCACCACCATTTCTACCGGACGCGATATATTAAAATATGCTGCAAAGATCGGAGTAGCGTACTTACGCACACCTCAAATCGAAGTAGAGTCGTATCATTACTTATTAGCAAGTCGTTATAATAAATGTTCGAACCGGAACTGTTTGCGCTTTCAAATATTTTACGATTAGCAGCACAAGCTATAACGGTTCTGTTTTTCGTGTCCTCTGTTTCTGGTTTATTTTAAACGACTTGTTTTAAGTGTTCAAATTTTACATTTTACTTTAAAGTAAAAATATTATTTGCAATTGGTAAAGATATTTAGGTGGCCTGGTTTAGATGACACACCCTGTGAATGTATGACCAATCTTATTTACGAATAAATTCTTGCAAGTTTTCTCCATGTCATACGTGATAGACACGCTAATAATACAAAAAGATCAAGGATTATCGTCTTATTACAAGGAGGCAGAGTGTACCGATAATTTTGCAAAGCATAAGTCCCGCTAACTTTCACTCTTATTCACGTGATCGTCGTCCCCCTCTTCGCTTTTCTCCGCCAGAATGATCCATGGTCTTCCAGAGACATTCCTTGCGACTGCAACTGCGCCAGAAGCGTACAGTTTATTAACCGATCTATCTGAAAAATCGAGGAAGATGAGAGTCCATCTTCTTGGGTAGCAAGATCGACAAGATTATTTGCAACTAACCCTTCCTTTACCGGAAGTTAGCGTAAAAACGTTGATCACAATCGCTTCAATTCGAATCTTCCGTTTAGTTACAAATATGGTTCGGAACGATTTAAAGAGCGTAAGCTCGTGGGATTGGTAAAAGAATGAATCTCCTTCGGAGTTTACGTAATAAGAAAAAATGTAAGTGAAGTAAAGCGAATAAAGATCGAGGAAATCCAAGAATGGAGTTCGGCGGATTTGCGAGCTGCACACAACTCATTCACATGTTCCAGTTTCGTTCACTGCATATTTCGCAATCGAACTTTTTTCTATCGTGATTTCCTTCCTCGCGACACCTTTGTTCCCTGCTGGAGACGAGAGTGGTGCAATTAACGCAGCGCGCCGAATTACGCAAGCGAAAACGAACGAAGCAATCCGCTTTCGTTTTTCCGAGAAAAATCGCTATTTTGAGGGAGCAGGAGTAGGAGAGGGTAGACAAAGAGAAATAAAATACGGGATGAAATAAAATATTTATAGTTAATTTATTCTGAGTTCATAGAAGAGTCTGAGTTTTCGGACGTAATTTCTTCCTCCCGATTTCCTGATCTTTCGAGACTTTTACTTTGCGTCTCGGACGTGTGTTCCTTTGGCTGTTTATTTGCCTTCCGTAACGCATCGTTTAAATGGTTTTTACCGAATCTCCTAAATTTAAAATTGGGTAGGTACTTTAGTTCACCGTCCCATTTTCTCAACATCTCGCATTGAGCAGCGTTAAGAATATCAGGAATTTCTGAAATATAAAACAATTACACAGGCTCTCGCAAACAAAGCATTTTTAATAGCTTACCTATTCCACAAGTATTGTATTCTTCTTGCTCGCGTTCCTTGGTCATCCTTACTATGTCTTCCCTGCTTGCATGCTGTCTGTTTCTTTTACCACCCACAGAGTGTTTTATAGCAATTTGTTCCAATTCTTCGTCGTTTCTTGCTATGTACCTTTGAGTCAAACACACAATTATTAGTAGTTACGGCTTTGATATTTGTGTCTTATTCACCTACATTTCTAACAACCGTGCTGTCAATTCTGGGGTATAAGGGCACACGTCTGGAATCATGTGTTCTTGGATCCATAGCATCTTCTCTCCCACTAAACTCTGCTTTATCAAACCAGACATTTTTGTCTTCTGTCTGTTGACTATTCTGAAACAAAATGCATCTTATACTTTTTCTGTCAAGACTTGGAAGAACTTAGATACAAAACATTTGTGTAGTTTAAAGGTAATCTGATTTACTTTTTGGCCCTTTTGGCAATAGCAAGAGACTTCCTGCTATTTGGATGTAGAATCTTCTTTGCTTTTAAGTACTCCTTTCTCATTGCAACAGACTGTGAAAAAAAGTATTCGTTAAGGGAACAGAGTTCACCGTGAGAACATGAAAATATTCCTTAGCAGAAATCGTATAAAGATAAATTGAATCTCACCATGGTTCTACTTTATTGTATGTATTCCAGTTCCTAACCTCAAAAACTTCTAAACAACGTGGTTGCTCGATCCATTTGAACGAAAGAAAGATATTAGTATTATGTGGCGGCGCCTATCGGCATCAAAGGAAACATTGAATCAATATTTATTACCATCCCTATTTTTAAACGAAAAACTTCAAAATTTGTCTTCTGTTTCTATTTTTGACATGTTTACGTAAAGAGTACGACAATAACCTATATAAACATTTATACTTTTACTAGAGGCATATTAATGAAATATTATTCAAAGAAAGTTTGTAAAAGTTTATAAAACATTTGTTAGGAAGAACATTTTGGCAAGACTGAAGCACAATGGCGAAAGTCTTTTTCGTAATATTGATATTTTTAATTTTAACGTCAAATGGATCGAGTTCCGGCTGTCGCAAAGGAAACGGGCAGAGTTTAAACGAACTTCGTGATCCCCCTGACGATCAAATTGCGATGGATCATTATTACGACTGCGATTCGACCGAATTCGGCATAGTACAGAAGATTCCATATGTGCGGACTTGTTCCACGTGTGACGCTATAGATATTAATTTCTCATCCGCCTGCATTAGATGCGGAATGTGTCTCGCTATAGCTGAAAAGGTAAATTTGTTACCTTTAATCCAGTAGAATTATTTAACAACAGCTTAAATTCTTCTCAGATAAATCAAACTTTATTAGACGTCCACGAAATGATGGCTTCCAACTCGAATTTAAACGATACCGAAGTCGAACTTCTCTTGAGGACCATTTGCGACCACTCTTTTCAATAGTAAGCGTATCTTTTCAATATAGACAACACCAAAACAAAGTTTAATCCAACAGACATTAATTCGTCGAGGGCAAATAACATGTTATTCCAGATATTTAATTGTCAACCATTATCCGATAAAATTTCGCCCAAGTTTCGATGTTAATCCATTCCATTACTGATAAAATCGATTATACTGTTATGTTCATAGCTATAGTCTTCGAGAAGCTGACGGAATAAGATTCATTTCCGACAGGCTGCCCGGTTCCATTTTGGTGACCACGTCCTCGGATGGACTCTGGGGAGAGAAGTCAGTATCTTGCCTCCTAATTTAAATAAGAAAATTTTTGGTTCCATTAACAACTATCGAAAAGTAGATACAGATTTTTCCTTTCTTAACACCTGATTTTCTTCAGACTAAAAGATCTATGTCACTATTATCTCGACGAGATCGGGGAGGTGGCACTTTACGAGCAATGGCAGCAATGGTGCAAGGACGATGAAAAGTTTCCCAACTTGACGAACGTTATGTGCCGGTAATAAAAGAAGAAAAGCTCTCGTAGAACGAACAATTATCGCCTTTATTTTTTTGTAGAAACTCACTTGGTACGTTACGAGACTGTAGAAGCATGGTCGACATGGCTAAATACGAGTCTCCCTTTAAACCATACAATGCCAAAGTATCAGTCATCGCATCGTACGATAAATACGGAAAGTACGACGATTGAGGATCTATCGCGTGAAATGTAGACGGCGATTAAATCGTTTATTTGATAGCTCTTTACATTTTCTACGCGCATTTATTCTATGCCGGAAACGACAAAACTTGCTACGAATATAACAAACATTCTTATCTTTTGATACATGTAAATTTAATACCAAACAACTTACAATAAATTATATCAGTTTCAGAAACCTACACATTTAATTATATTCAATGCTAAACTTTGGATGCGATTGTATGTATACAGTTATCACGTTCGCACTTCGTGCAACCAATAATTTCTTATCTGTTCTAGAAGACGCCTCGTTCGTTACATAGTTGCGCTCTCGGTTTGAAAAATAACAATTAATGAATATTTACCCGTTGCCGGCCGAAAAAATGAATAATCTTTCACGCATCGGTGATTCATTGCACGAAATTGCGTAAAAATGCAAAAATACTGGTTGGTCGCACGATAAATCTTGTTTTTATCTTGATCAAGATCGATTGCTTTTTAGACTTTAATCGATATCGTGAGTAATTTTTCTAGAACGACTTGTTCGCGATGAAAAACAATACTTCATTGATGAAACGGGAAAACCGTGTTATCGGTAGGTCTACGGTCCTCCTCGATCGCTTGGAATTTCTTTGTCGGCAAATCAGAGACGCTTGTCCCGTTAAAGCTGGTCCGTCTTCTCCAATTATAGAATCTTGGCTCGAAACGGGGGCGATCGATTTCCTCGCCAGAATTTGCCACCCTATCGGCCTCTTTTGCCCCAAAGGGCGAGATCGATTTCCACGGTCGTCCATCCTGCGTAGCGATGGTAAAATCCGTAACGAGGCGCTCGTCGTTGTTCGTCGGGTCGCGTTGCATCCGATGGTTCGCGAGAAAATCCCGCTTTTTGCCGCGATGGGAATGCAAATGCAGATGAGGGAAACGAGAAAACGGGGGGAAATGGCGCAAATGAGGCAAATTAGACAAGCTCGACATCAGATGACGCTGACGCATCCCTCGCACGATGCTGTTCTTCATTTGCAGTCTCTTGTTCCAGATTCTTTCCGCGATCCAGATCGAAATCGCCGTCAAACCTCCAGCGATCAGTATGAAGAAGGCGGAATAGACGTCGGCCAGCCTGGCGCTGTGAAACGTTGTCGGTGATTTGCATTGCGGCATTTCTGGTAGCATTTGTTCCGTTATTCTGTTCAGGACACCTCGTTCCCGTATCCTCAGAATGCTAAAAATTATATTTCATTTTTGCAATCGCAACGGATCAACGCGTGTCGAAGAATTCTGCGTCAGTCTGGAGGAGACTTCTAAAAAGTAATGTCGCGTACGCATTGTTAGGGTTTTTGTATTTCAGAGTATCGTTCGCGTACTTCAGGTTAATAATTTTCTTGTAAGGGCAGGAATTGGACATCGGCAAGGCCACCATCGTGAACGTTTGCGGTATGGATAGTTCCTTCAAAGTACATCGCTCTTGAATCAACGTCGTTCTGAGAGCACGTCGCGCGAGGGTGGCGCTGACAAAGAAACCGTATTGTCCCTGCACCGCCTTCGCGAGACCGGAAGTCGTGTCTAATCGAGACTCTCGGTTGTTGAATGCTCTTATGTACAGCTCGCGAAGATTACTGTCGTTCACGTTCTAAAACCAACAAAATTACTGTGCAAGATTAACGTTCCTCTTTCAACTCCTTGCGTTGGAATTTACATTATTCGATAAATATTATTTACGTTGAATTTGATCGATATAAATTATTCTAATTTTTGTGGAAGAGATGATATTCACGGAAACACGACGGACAAATAATTTTGTTTGCAACGTAAATCACTGTAATACTTTAATTGCTCATATATTATGTAACCTTTGTCGGTAACCTCAGATAATGAATTGATGGTAGGTGGCCTTGTAGAACAAACGAGATAACAAGCGGACCCTATTTACAAACACGAATTAAATTTTTTGCGATATCTAGATGTAACTGTACAGTGAAAGTGGCTTGTCTCTTGAACTTCAGGGTCAAGAACGTTTCAAGCATATGCTACCTTAATTTTATCGCTATAACGTTAAAAAAAATCCATACCGAGCTTGAAACTTCTTCGTAAAACAATTTGAAATACCTCTGGAACATTCACTCGTATCTTCGGCGCTGAGAGAGTTATTTAGGAGAATTATCTAAATTGAGTGTCACATCTTTAAATTGATATAAAATGTTCTCGGCTTTTTTTCACGATCTCGACTCGTTTTACCCAATTCTTCGTTATATTATCACACAGCTGGGGCTCGATTTCGTTAATAACAACTATAATATTGTTTGTTAGTTCGTTAAAACCACGTGTCGTTCACGTCCGTATCATCCAATTTCGACTAAAAATACGAGTAATCGTACTTTGATAATGTTGATCGTTCCTAGCTGTCAATATAACAAGCTCATTAATAAAGGGTAAAAAAAGTTGATTATTCAGGCAGAAAAATTTTGCCAAGCTCGCGAAAACAAGCTACAAACGAACTTTGAATGTATCCGCGATGGTTTGTTCATGAAACGTGATACTTAATCTGAATAATCCTTCGGTTGGAATTTAAATGGAATTTGATGTTATTCGAATAAACTCACGCGAATGTATTCGTCATCGGTGATGCTGTATCCCAGTTTGAAATTGTGCGACAAAAGGTCGGTGATAGATTTGATACCGCTTGCTTGTACCGACAGTATCGAGGTAATGAAACCAGCGTACGCGTTGTACATTACCAGAGCGAACATTAAGCTGAACAATAATACTGTTTTCCCAGACGGATTACGCGGTGTCCATGGCGAACCTGTATTAATTTTTTTAAATTACAAATACGTCACATAACTCGTCATCTAACTCGAATAGGTTGTCTTTAACGAAAACCTTGCATGCACATTATGCTGATGCACCATAACGCTGCTTCCCCTATTCCAACGCGTTTCTCCTCTTCGTGATGCAGAACGGTTTTCGTAGCGTAAATTATCAGGCCCATTGCGATCAGTATTGCAAAATACGTGCACGCGACGCATCCCAAAAGGCAATTGTTGAATGGCTGGCGAAATATGTCTCTCATGGTACCACTTTCCAGTGGATGATAATAAATATTTCTCCTGGATGGAAATATGGAATTCAGTTTCTAGAAAATACTCAGTTTCTAGAAATACTCGAATGTTCTTACATATAGCGAATCAGAGGGTGGCTGAAAAACATTTCTGCCTGTCGTTCCTCGTTCACGGTTATGTATCCTAATCCAATGTCAACAGTTCCAGCAATGACGTCCCCGAGAAGGTTGTTCCAAACTTTGTTGTTCAACGTGCCAAGTTTCTCGTGCGGCACCAGTTCTATGCTGAAAATTGTCTGATGCTAATATTTCTATTTGCGATTAAGATCATCATCGAGACGTTGCATAAAAACTGAGATACCTTGCAAAGTATTACGGTTTCAATCGTTATAACTTTTTCTTATGTAGAAAAATATTGTACTTTTTCAGACGTCATATCGTGGTAATTTAATAATTACTGTAATTAAAGAAATCGCGTGGTCGAACGAAAATTGTTATTACAGTTTTCAAATAGCTCAAGAAATAAATCTACGTGAATATTTCTAAGAATCCTAAACGTCATTCATATTATCTTATTTCAATATTCTTTCTTTGCAAATTTTAAATTCCGCCTGAACAGATGTTTGAAGATTGAGAATGATTCTTTTATACACGTACGTATGTACGTTAGTCCACGGTGCAAGGTACATTCGTTAAAAATAAGATTATGTTTTTTGTAAATTACATAGCAGTAGCTCCGAGATTTGGTAACATTCTAAATCTTAGCAGAAAGTCGACTGTGTGCTCGCGACTAGAATATTAGTAATTTCTTTACAAATTAACTTTAACTATGATGGAAATATCTGCGCCTTTGATTTTTCATTTTACAAACATGAGATTAGAAAAAATTCATCGACGTTTGCAGTATACAGAATTATACGTATGTCGTTCTCTTATTATTTAAATAGGAAGTTTACCATTAAAAATATCAACGCGTATGAATTTTAAATCGCGCTTAATAATAGAGATATTAATTCGAGATACATATGGAATAGCCGTCTTGTCAATGTTTTTGCTATTGAAATGTTGCAAACACACAACAAGTAGTTTCATACGATATTCACTTTGTTTATCTTGATGGGTTTTTGTATCGCGCACGAAAGGTAATATCAATCATTCTTGCAATTGTAACCGACGAAGAAACACATTTTGTACACATTTTGATAACCATGATTCTCCTGATTGTACTGACAAACTTTTAGATCCTCCGAATGAAATTTTTCTAATCGTTGCCAGTCGATTGTGATCTATTAGTCGATACGCACCTTGCATTTACGCTGCTGGTGATAAATCTGGCGAAATCGAGAAGCGGCGCGATGTCGTTCGCCTCGACTAGATCCGTCACGTCCATCTCTCCATCGATCGTACCATTCAAAACACCAAAAACTATCGGAAGTCCGTTAAAATTGCTTCTGAGTTTCACGCTTGGTGGGTCCCGGAACTCCCAGGAGCCCGGGTTCCAGGAACCGAGGGAATCGGTCACCAAACTGGTATTGTCATTGTGGCGAATCTTGTATACATGGACGAAATAGAAGGCCACCGTTCTGTTCTTCAAAACGGCGTAGTTTAGGTTGATCGTCGCGTTCTCGTCGATTCGCTGGACGAGAGGCTCCCGAAACTCGTAATGACTCCCATAGCGACGCAAACACAGAGAGGTTCTGATGAAAACGCAAAAAAATCAGTGCAATAGCAAAAAGCAATCGGATGCAATTTGTTAATACCTGTTCCAGTAGAATTTTTGCATCGCCTCGTGTGTCAAAGAGGACATCGCGACAATCACGTCGCTATCGATGCCAATATTCAAATGTCGAAGCACGTTATCAATCGTCGCGTCCGTGTTTCTTGCAGTTATCATCAGCCACGAGACGTAATAATTGAAAAGAAGTTTCTGGGAAGCCTGCAATAACGATCGCGTGCCCAACGAAAGGATACCGGTGTTATAAAGTTTTAACGATTATAGAGAGTCATTCAAAATCCATCAACGACTAGTAAACGGCTAGAATCGGGTTTCATATTCCAAAACGTAAATATTTTATTCAACGATTTCGACTTACTTTTGCATGCAGAATCAATTTCATCTAAATTATGCGAGCCATTAAGGGATACCTCCGTACATCAGATGCAAATCAACCTGATTTATCGCGTGATCTTAACGAGTGCAGATAATTACAACTGCGAACTTTTTAGCATTTAATCGTCGCAATGTCTACAACAGATAGCAGAGGCGGGACGGGAATACGCAATTATTGGGTCATCCTGAAAGTTTCCGGTGTTTCCAAACGACCGTTTTGAAAGAACATCGTAACAATTCAATATTTTTATCCGAAGTAATCTCCACCGTTAGACGGAAAATGAAGGATTACCACTTATCTGGTGCTGGTCGTTTTAAAATAAATGTTTACGAATCAGGCGAGTCGAGAGTTTGGAACATAAATTTTCTGCTTGTACGAGACGCGGAACTTACGAACTACTTACGAACTACTTCATTAGCATTATTTATGATTTCGATGAATTGGGTAATTAAACGTTCGCTCGTAACGTGCACAAGCTATTTATGAATCAACTACGTATGCTTCTCACCACGTGAAGCACGTTTTCTGGCGACGTGAGATTGAGCCCGTCCAGCAGTACGATCGATCCAATTCGGTGCTTCTGGATCATAAGGGCATCAGGTATATTGGGATTGATGGCTGATTGAACCGACACGCTAATTCCTTTTTCGGCGAGACACGAGATCAGAGGTCTGGCGTAAGCAAACACACAGTCTGCCAAAATACGAGAAAATATAAGAAAAATAGCATATTTCGTTTGCCTTAGGAAGACTGAAGTGTTTCAGTTCATAAATAAAACAAGTAAACGTTGTCATCGAATAGCCAAACGCATATATTTAATTTCCAATTAATAATTCAGACGTTTCTAGAGGAGAAACGTTAACATTTCTACCGGGTTCCCACACACTTTTGCTTTCAGCGAAGTACAATAGTTTTGTGTCAGAGTAAATAAAATTTTATTCAAGAATAATGAATACAAATACGAAATTTATTCGTAAGCCTTCTTACGTTCGTAGTGCCGTTCATCTGGATCTGGGTTTATACGTTCGTTGATGGATTCTAATTTATTAATGAATCTACGAGTGAAACGTGGACGGAAGTTAGTTTACGAACGATACTACAATATTTACTTGTTATTCGTGAATAAAATTTACCACGAATATATCGGCCAGAATTTTATAACCGAGTGTTGAACGAGGCAAGAGAAGTTAAATTAAATTAAAATGTTTGTGAAGTATGGTAGATTGAATTTCACTTACCTAGAGAACTTAAATTCTCGAAGAGCACGATTTGGTCCCAAGATCTCAATTTAGAAAATTCCAGGATTAATTGCAACGTTAACGGCGAGGGTAGGATGCATGTACCCGTGGCCAAGCAGAAAGTAGATATAAAAAATCCTGTTCTCATTTTTCTGCGAGTTTGGTCGTCGCTGAGGTTCAGATTTTTGTAATTTTAATTAATAATAACGAGAAATGCGAGCACCTCGTTCTAGTTCTTCGTCGATGACCGCATGAGCTACGAAACGGCTTAGACAGCGGTCGAATACAGACTGGGGATCATCTTAAGAAGTCCTTTCGACTCGTCCTTGCTTCAACGCATGCGATAAAAATTAGTTTTCATATAGTGATCGATGGAACACCCATTTTTTATCCGAGAGAATTAATTGCACCCGCGGTGTCAGTTCTTGCTAATCACCAACCCCCAAGAGGAAAGGAAATGGATCGTCGAACGACGATTCTTCCTTGAGTGCGATCTAGCAAATGTCTCTTTCAAATTGCAAACGTCGTAATTATTTTGTTTGTTAAGCTACGTGAAATAATTACGTATTTCCAATATTTTTTCGCGTAATACGTGACGTAAATCGAGGGACGGGTGTATATCCAATATCGGAAAGCAAGTTTTAAAGGTTACTATTGTCCGAACAAAAGAATACAACGATGAGTCAGCGAACGCGGAATAGTTTTTCATATTTTACCGGTGCTTCCGACGTTTTTTACACTTCGACTACGATTAATTACTTTCCAAATCCCTAGGGGCTTCCCTGTTCGACTAAAAGCCGAAAAAGTGACGGTCTAGATAGCATTACTTTTGTTTATTCTTGCTTTCAAAGTGGTCTCTTGTTTGGAGGTTTAAAATTTAATTATCAAATGTTCGTTCTTGCAGTTTAACTTGGACACCTTTTACGGTCACCGTCGATGAAGCGGTTTATAATTTAAATGGGGAAATTGCGGGAGAATTTCTAAAGGCATCGTCGAGAATAACGAGGTGAAATCGGGTTACTCGTTTAGAAAAATCAGCGCAACGGTTATATCGACGTTTGTGTATAACATCCGCAAACGAGGACAATGATGTGTCGATAATAGTATTTACTATGCGTCGACAGAAAATCGATTGATTTGATGCAATCGATGCTACCGTTGAAACGAATCCGTGTTACTACGAAAGTTCGTGTTCGCAACTCGTTCGTAGAACGAGAACATTCTCTTAAAATAATAACAACGAACGAACCCCGATGTAACATTTTGAACAACGACGATACAAATAACTATACAATAGAAGTATTCTCTTAGATATCAGAACTTTCGTAGCTTCTTTAAAACGAAAGAAAGATCGTTTGATTTGAATTGCAAAAGCGATCGACAGCATCATTGTATTCGTTAGTTAATACGCTCATATGATTAATACAATTAATTTACCGCACAACCTGTTTCAGAAAACTTAAAACACTTCCTAGTTTTTTTTAGCAGAAATATATGTTAGAAGAATCTTTTTACGATCCGCGTTTTACCAAGGTTCTGGGGTAAGTGCCGTGGGGTTCATCACAGTCCTCTTACCAAAAGGCAAAGCCTTCCCCACTCCGTGGCCAGATCCTTCTAGAAAATCCTTATCGTACTACACGTGTCGTACAGCACCATGACTTCGGGTCATCGGCCACACGCACGGTACCTTTCGAGAATCGGCGATGGGGCTCCCTATCGCCGACATATAAACAAAACATCCGCGACTCCTAGAATTCGTCGCGCCTCGAGTGGGCCAAGTCTGATGACAGACTTATGGTTCCGGTATCGATACCTACGATACTCTTGAGAATCTGGTCATAGCCTCAAATGCATTGACCCTGACACGTGTCACCCCTTGAAAATGGAATTGACGCTAACACGGCCAACCTGACATGCTTCGCGCTCTCGAGAAGCATCCACCCATAATTTGCATTTATTTCATTAGTCAAGACAACAAGTGTCTCACAACAGCTCAAAGGCCAAGACACACAAAGTGTCTCACAACAGCTCAAAGGCCAAGACACACAAAGTGTCTCACAACAGCTCAAAGGCCAAGACACACAAAGTGTCGCAGTTAGTAAAAATTATCATCCTTCCAGGATAAATAAGTTTACAAACAAAAATATCAATTCAACCAATTATATATTGGAAACACAATATAAACATAATGATAATACAATACATAGAAAAACATAATAACAATAAAATATATGAAAAACTATATATTTCAACAACATAAAATTAAACCGCTAACACGGTTCATCCGACAAATCAATGTCATCCTCGCCAGACCATTCACCTTTCCACAATCTCAACCGATCTTTGGGCGCTACTTGTGGTCTACCACTACTACCTAAGATCTCATATCGATCATTTTCTAATAATTTATTAATCGTAAAAGGTCCTGTATATTTGGGTTTTAACTTAGCCCTGCGCAAATCACTAGAACGTATAAAAACACTGTCACCTTCCTTGAACACTACGTTATTTCTACGTCTTTTGTTAAACCGTTCGTTCTGTTTTTCGGCATTCTTTTTCAATCGCTCAAACGCAAGTAGGCGGTCGTTTTGGATGTCAATTTTGTCCTCTGGAATTGTCAATTCCGCCTCGGCAAGTACCGCCGGTCCCACACTGCGTTCTATACCAAACAGCAAGCGCATCGGCGAGAACCCAGTACTCTTTTGCACTGTGGTGTTTAGTGAAGACTGTACTTTTTCGAGCTTGTTCGGCCATTCTGAAAGTTTTGATATTTCTACTGTGAGTAAATCTATAACTGTCGCCACATATCTCTCGGCTTGTCCGTTGGCTCTCGGTGCTCCTGTCGCAATAAGATGTAATAGAACACCATGTTTTTTTTAAGAATTGTTCCAGAGGTTTGTATGTAAAATTAGTTCCTCGATCCAGAATAACAATACGCGGTTTACCAAATAAAAGAAGGCGTTCTCGAAATACACGTAAAGTTTCAGGTCCACTCAAAGATTTTAACGGAACCAACTGGACATATTTCGTAAAAGCATCAATAATGATTAAAATATGCTTGTAACTGTTGAGGATCTATCGTTATGAAAGATTGAACTCAACCGCTTACATGCAGAAGAAAAAATGGTTTATTGAAAAGTATAATAATGGATATTACAAGACACGGAGGCGAAAATCTAAGTGAGAGACTTTCTCCGCGGTCAGGGTTGTCGCACAACTAACTTCAAACGGAGAAAAAGCCCGGCTTTATAGGCGTCGCCAAATGATCGGCAGACCTATGGGTTTTATGACCCGACCTGGGTCGACGTCGAGCAGGGAAAAATCGCAATGCTAGACATTGAAAATATATCTATTCTCAACACTCCCACTTATTTTGAATGTCCGCTAACATTTAATTTTTCTCTCAGATAGCCAAATAGCTGTTTTTGCAAAGGCTTAGTGAAGATATCAGCCAATTGTTCTTTCGATTGAACATACCTAATTTCTACTTCTCCACGATTAACGACATCACGAGTAAAATGGTACTTTATGTCAATGTGTTTCGAGCGCTTATGGTTTTCGGAACTATTAGCAATTTTTATTGCCGCTTGGTTATCAACAAAAACGGGGACAATATTGCACACAACATCCAACTCATTCAACATACGACGTAACCAAACCGCTTCTTTCACGCCGTGAGCTAATGCGATATATTCAGACCCAGCAGTTGAAAGGGCAACAACCTTTTGCAATTGACTGGACCACGAAATTGGTCCACGATTCAAAATGTAGACAAATCCACTCCTAGATCTTCGAGTCTCTGTGCATCCGGCATAGTCTGCATCCGTGAATCCCGAAATATCAAGCGAACTCCCACTGTTTCCGTAAACTATTCCGTGATCACGTGTTCCATTTAAATAACGCATTATTTTCTTTACCGATTGCCAATGAGTGTCATCGTAACAGCTCAGAAATTGACTTGCGTAATTGACCGCGAATTCGATATCAGGGCGAGAAACTCGTGCAGCGAACAATAAAGAGCCTATTGCCTCACGAAACGGTATTTTACTGTCAATTGCAGGTGTTTGTTTTTGCAAGGGCATACCTGGCTCCGCAGGTACACTTGACGGATTTGCTTCAAGCATGTTAAAAGTCTTTAATATTTTCTTAATATAGCCCGATTGAGAAATTTTTAAGAGTCGACGTTCGCGATCGCGTTTAATTTCGAAACCGAGAAATTCATCGGCCCGATCTACCGTGATTTTAAGATTACCTTTCAAATAATCTAAGACGCTCTTAATTGCATTCTCGCTTTTGCTCATAATCAAACCATCATCCACATACAGGGCTAAATACACCTTTGAATTTTTCACTACACCGACGAACACGCACTTATCACTTGCGATGTTCACGAGATTAAATTCGTTCAGAAACCTCGTGAACTTCTCGTTCCAGCATTTGGGTGACTGCTTCATTCCATACAGACTCCGATGTAGCTTGAAGACTGCATCCGGTTTGCTCTCAATTTCGTATCCTGGAGGTTGCTCCAAGTAAATTTCTTCTTGAAGATCGTCATATAGAAAAGCGGTTTTCACGTCGAACTTCATTATTTCATGATCTTCTTTCGCAGCTATCGCAAGAAGAATTCTGATGGACTCGTAGCGAACAACAGGTGCGAATGTGTCAAAATAATCGATTCCTTCTCGTTGTCTGAATCCTTTCGCTACAAGTCTCGCCTTGTATCTCTTCAGATTTCCAGCTGTATCATTTTTAATTGAGAAAACCCATTTGCACCCGATTGCACGTTTTCCTTGCGGCAATGCACATATGGTCCATGTGCGATTTTCTTCAAGAGCCAGCATCTCTTCGTCCATGGCTTCCTTCCACTTGCTGGTGTCGTCACTGGATATTGCCTCGGTGTAGGTCATAGGCACCGTATCAGCCAAAAAAGCGATAGGTACGCCGTATCGGTCAGGTGCTTGTAACGTGCTTCTATTGCGCAATTTTCTACCTTCCCGAGCATTTTCATTGGCTGCTACCTGCTCTATTTCTGGCAAAACTGCGTTTTCTTCATTTCTATTGTTTTCCAGGTCTCGTGTTTCGGCGACATCTTCCACAACTGGAGCTTGGTGTTCGGCTGCATCTTCTGGAGTAGGAGTCGTCTCTACTTCGTTTTCAATTCCGAATTTGATGATTATATCGGTTTCGGCATGCGTTTCGGCACTTGGTAGGGCACTTTCGTTGAAGGTTACGTCACTGCTTATAGAAATTTTCTTTATTCTATTGTCCCAGAG